GATTAAATGAAAAATGTATGGAACAACATAGGGCTAAACAGTTTTTAAGACCTGAGTGACTAGAATCATAAACAAAATTACATCCCTTATCTAATAATTAAGAGATTATGGTCTTACAAGAAGAAAGAAAATAAAAACCAATAAAAACAGATATATGGTGCTATTTTAATATTTTAAAATATTCAGCATTCAGATATAAATGCTATGGAACCAAATGAAGCACAGTCATTTTCTATCATGGGAAAAAAGTAGAGTGCCTCAGAGTGAGGTCATTAAACTAAGTGCCAAAAGAGGCAAGGCAAAGGTTAACAGCTAGAGATCTGAAAGTCTCAGAATATCACATCTAGGCAAGACACTTAACTGTGTTACGAACCTAAAACAAAGAAAGTAGGTACATGTGCAATGTTGGCCTACTAAAAATTTAAAGGATCTACACTGCTGAGGACATCAGAATAGTCAGCTGACTTAGGCTGTGGGTCTTTAATCCACAAGGCAATTTCTAGCAATCAGACCTCCATAACAGACAGAATAAAGCTGTGAAAACTATGCAGTCTCCAGACAGACTGTTCTCCATTAAGACCATCTCAGATGTGGCCACGAAAGACAAAACACTAACAAAGGAACACCAGAGACCAGAGAAATCTTCCCGGGAAACAGAAATTGGAGTCTGTCACGTAACCATTCTTTTCTTTTTTTAATCTTTACTTATTTGTTTGTATGTATAGGTACCTATGTGTCACAACATGTGGAAGTCAGAGAACTTGCAGGATGTGCTGGATAGCTTTAGTGTCAACTTGACACAGCCGGGTTGAGGGAGCCTCAATTGGGGAATTGCTTCTATTGGACTGGCCTATGGCCATGTCTGAGGGACATCTTCTTGATGAGTGATGTGGGAGGGCCCAGCCAGTAAGCAGCATTCCTCCATGGCCTGCACTCCAGCTCCTGCCTCCAAGTTCCTGCACTGAGTTCCTACCTTGGGCTCCTGGATGAACTGTGACCTGGGAGATGTAAGCTAAATAAACCCTTTCCTCCCCAAGTTGGTAGTGGTCAGAGTATTTTGTCCCAGCAGTGAAGAACAGACTAGGACAAAGGATAACCTGATCCCCTCTATTTACTCCTTCGGACTACTACAGTCAGAACCACAGGAATGAGGGTTTCAGT